GACAGGGGAGAACCGGCTGAAGAGGTAGAATCTGTCCCTCTGACAGCCGAAGATCGACGGGTCAACATCGGAACCAAGTTGGGGAGTGAGGAAAGAGAAAGCCTTATAAACTTCCTCAGAAGCAACGCTGATGTGTTCGCATGGTCACCGGAGGACATGCCGGGAATCGACCGAGGAGTTATGGTACATCGACTCAACGTCGACGAGAGCTGTAAGCCARTGAAACAGAAGCGTCGCGCGTTCAACCAAGAAAGGAACGAGATTGTAGCTGAACAGGTGGATGAGCTACTGAAAACAGGCTTCATTCGGGAAGTACATTATCCCCAGTGGATATCCAACGTGGTGCTGGTAAAGAAGCCAAACGGCAAATGGAGAATGTGCATCGACTTCACGGATCTAAATAAGRYCTGTCCAAAGGAATCTTTTCCTTTGCCTCGAATAGATCAACTGGTTGATGCCACTGCAGGACATGAAAGATTGAGTTTCATGGATGCCTACTCTGGATATAATCAAATCAAGATGCATGTACCGGATCAGGAGAAAACTTCTTTTGTCACGAGTTGAGGCTTGTATTGCTACACCGTGATGCCGTTTGGATTAAAGAATGCAGGTGCAACCTACCAACGAATGGTGAATCGGATGTTTGCAGCCTTAATCGGCAAAAATATGGAAGTCTACGTAGACGACATGCTKGTAAAGAGTCGAAAGAACGAGCGACACGAGGAGGATTTGGCAGAAGCGTTCGACATCTTGCGAAAGTACAAGATGAAGTTGAATCCCACCAAATGCATGTTTGGAGTGACCTCAGGCAAGTTCCTGGGATTTTTAGTGCACCAAAGGGGAATCGAAGCCAATCCAGATAAGATCAAAGCTGTTCTGGAGATGGATCCACCTAAAACTCTAAAGCAGTTGCAGGGACTCAATGGAAGGATAGCARCACTCAACAGATTCGTTAGCCGTTCCACTGACAAGTGCCTACCATTCTTCAAAATCTTAAGGAAGAAAGGACAATTTGAATGGACGGAAGAGTGCGAGGCTGCCTTTAAGGAGCTGAAACAGTACCTAGGGGCAGCTCYACTCCTCGCAAAGCCGATCGTGRGTGATGAGCTTTACTTATATTTAGCTGTATCCAGCACTGCGGTGAGTTTCGCGTTAATAAAGGAAGAAGATGGACGACAATCCCCAATTTACTACACAAGCAAAGCAATGGTAGATGCAGAACTTAGATACCCACCAATRGAGAAGCTGGCATTRGCACTGGTCACTTCAGCTCGGAGACTACGCCCGTATTTCCAAGCTCACAAAATAATGGTCCTCACCAACTTTCCCTTACGACAGATCTTACAAAAACCAGACACTTCTGGACGACTGGTAAAGTGGGTTGTAGAGCTCAGCGAGTACGACATTCACTATAAGCCAAGAACTGCCATGAAAGGGCAGGTTGTGGCAGAGTTCATAGCGGAATTAACACCAACAGAGCCTCAAGTATATAGTATCGACCCACAAGTGGTTGAGGAAGAACAACTCTGGACACTCTACGTAGATGGGTCTTCAAATTTTCGGGGATGCGGGGCAGGACTCCTACTAATCTCTCCAGATAAAGAAAGATTCGAATATGCGCTGCGATTCAACTTTCATGCATCCAACAACGAAGCCGAGTACGAAGCTCTACTAGCA